TTAATAGAAACTTTAATAAAACTCTTTGATTTAACCATTCTGCCTCTGTTTCCTTTTCCTTTCCTTTCCACTTTTTGTTACTTCCCCCCCCCCCTCATCGCCTGGACTCTTTTAGGGGAACGTAACACTGTAAAATAACCTTTAACCATCGTTACACTATTTTTCATACTGTGTAGTTATTATGTTACATGTTTGATTCTTTATAAGATGTTCTCAGAGAATAAATGCTGCATGTTTATTTTGTTGGGTAAGATAAACATTACGGCGCATGTGTGGGAGCAGGTTAGAATGCACCAGTACGGCAATGGAAATGTGTGCTGTAGCAGAAAACAGTTTTTTGACCATGACATCGTTTGTTTGTATGTATGAGTCAGAAATAACTCTGGACAGCTCACATTAAGGAGTGGAAGAAATTTTTTCAAGGCTTGGGACAGAAATTCACCACTACAGTGTGTGTTATCTGGCTTCATGGGTAGATAAAGTTGGGTGTCATCTGCATAACAGTGAAAATGTATGCTATGTCTTCTGATGATACTGCCTAAGGGAAGCATGTATAATGTAAACAGAATTGGTCCTTGGCAATGACCTAGTTTCTAAATTATTTTTTTCAAAGGGTTCATTTAATTAAAAAGAATATACCTGAATCATTTAGCACCTACAGTGCTCTGAAAAAGTATTCATACCCCTTGAATCTTTACACATTTTGTCACCTTACAACCACATAATTAAATGTTTCTTATTGAGATTTTCTGTGATAGACCAACATAGTTGTAAAGTGGTACAAAAGTTAAACATCTTTTTCAAAATTTAAGCAAATAAATATCTGAAGTGTGGTGTGCATTTGTATTTAGCCCCCTCTACTCTGAAAACCTATAGACAAAATCCATTGTTATCATTTGCCTTTAGAAGTCACCTAATTAACTAATCAAGTTCACCTGTGTATAATTTAGTCTCATTATGAATACAGCTGCTCTGTGACAGCCTCAGTAGTTTGTTACAGAACATTAGTGAACAAACAGCTTCATGAAGACCAAGGAATCCCCCAGGGATGGGTTATAAAAAAATATCCGAATCAGAATCAGAATCAGAATGGGGTTTATTGCCAGATGTTGA